ATGTCAGCTATGTAGGCCGACCCTATTTTTGATGCATCGTATCAATCGTCTCGTAAGTTACAAGGGACGAAAGGTTGTCGAACCGCTCGAAGCCTATGCACTGACCGAGTCTGCACCCGAGAGAATCTCCCCAACTATCTAAGTCTTTGAGCTCAAAGGGAGCAGCATCGTCTTCCTCCTTGGCCTCGGGAAGATCTAGGAAATCCCCAACCTTAACAATAGCATGGCCTTGGGGAGAAACATCATGGTTATCCCGATCATCATTCGGGGATAAGGCATCCAATGTCTCCTTATCATCAAGATCGGGAGTCTCTATCACAAAGCGCCATGAGCGGGCGGCCGCTTTGTCTTCAAGAGCAAGACTCTTTCGGTGATCAGCTATGAACTTAAGATCAGTGGAATCTAAACAATTTGACGAAGATGAGCTCGATAAACATGGATTGTTACGAACCAAAGCCTCGGACGAGCAGGGCTTTATATGGGTTATAGGCGAAGGGTTTAAGGAGCAAGAAGCCAAAACATTGACGACTAGAGATATCATAAACTTCAAAGATATTAGGAACGAAAGCAAACAAACTCTAGAGAGAAAAATAAGAGAGAAATCTACCTTTTGAGTCAGATAAGAAGTTATGAGAACGGGAAGGGAAAACCTAGATATATAGGCTCAGTGCGGGAGACAAAGCATCGTCCCTAGTAAACCTCGCCCGCCTTCTCAACCAATGAGAAACTGCGAAATTGTTTTTTTTACGACGGGCGCAATACTCGACCAGAACTTTCGAGAGCAAGAAAGACTCATATAAACACAGGTATCCCACCGGCGGAGTCCACAGGCGCTCGTGATCCCGCGGGGTCAGGAATGTCAACTATGTAGGCAGACTCTGTTTTCGATGCATTGGATCAATCGTCTCGTAAGTTGCAAGGGACGAAAGGTTGTCGAACCGCTTGAAACCTATGCACTGACCGAGTCCACACCCGATAGAATCTCTCCAACTATCCAAGTCTTTGAGCCCAAAGGGAGCAGCATCGTTTTCCTCCTTGGCCTCAGGAAGATTTAGGCATGTTCTCCCTAAAGCCAGCTCAAAAGGGTTTAAAACCATAATAATATGGTAATTAGATTGAGCAACTATAATTACTATTCAACTATAGTTACTTAACCGACATTGACTATAAATAAGGGCCCCGAACCTTATAGTTGGGACTTTAATCTCACATGAACAGAGTACAAGGGACCCAAAACGCATAGTTTAAGCCTCTAACCTCCGAAAGTGAAATTCGCCGAAAATATCAAACCCGAACAGAATCAGTCCCGTCAAAGAATAAAAGTCCGTAACCGATCAGACTACAGAAAAACCAGTTCGGCCCGCTTATGGATCAGACATCATCTTTCTCGGTAACCTGTGAAACCGGTCTTAACTACTACTAAATCCAAGCTCGGTAAGATATTCGACCTA